CGTCCATCCACGACCATTTCTACCTCTTCCCGACCCATTGCGCACAACGACGAGGCCCCAGAGCGAGACGACGCTCATCCTCACCCATCCATACATCTGCCAACCATGGCCGCCATGCAAGATTCCGGACAGCACCAGACTGCCATCCGAAGGTACATCCTGATCCACCCCATCCACCTTTGCGATTCTGCCGGAACCAGCACCGCGATCCCCTCATCCCAGCACCACGTCCAATTGTTCTCTTGCTGACACGAACGATCGCCCAGGAAGCTCGTCATCATTGGAGACGGTGCTTGCGGCAAGACCAGCTTGCTGAGCGTATTCACTCTCGGTTTCTTCCCCACAGTAAGTTCTGAACTCATCTGCGCCTCGTTGATGTGTTATTGATGCTGACATGGGTAAACACAGCATTATGTAAGTCTGTCGCTGAAGCACGAACGCTACGAACCACCACCAGACCCCTTACCGCCGTTTCCCGCCGATACGCATCCTCTGACATCGCTCCTCGTTCCGACGCTAATCCACGTTACCATCCCATAGATCCCAACTGTCTTTGAGAACTACGTGACCGACTGCAAGGTGGACGGCAAAAATGTACAACTCGCCCTCTGGGATACCGCCGGCCAGGAAGACTACGAACGGTTACGGCCGCTAGCATACTCCAAAGCACACGTCATCCTGATAGGCTTCTCGGTCGATACACCAGATTCACTGGACAATGTCAAGCACAAGGTGGGTTCCGCGGCTTCCACCCACCCCCCCCCCCCCCCCTTTCCCCATGTTTCTCTCGCATGGCCCCTCCCTCTTTCGGCCAACCTCATGCTGCAAGACCCCGGGCTGCATCTAACGTCACCGTCATGGTGTTACGCTTGTACCACGCCGCAATCTCTTCCCCTCTCCATATTCGTCCATTGATGTGGAAGAAGTCGGGATGTGTGGTGTTGTGCCTTGGTTTGGAAGGGAGAAGCGCAAAGGAGGAACGAGGAAGCATTCGCTGACTGAAATATGTGTGACACAGTGGGTGGTAGAAGCACAAGAAAGATGCCCCGAGGTGCCGATCATCCTGGTGGGACTGAAGAAGGATCTCCGCGAGGACCCAGTCGCCATTGAAGAGATGAGGAAAAAGTCGCTAAAATTCCTCACGACTTCCGAGGGCGAGCACGCTTCCAAAGAGATTGGCGCCCGCAAGTACCTCGAGTGTTCGAGTTTGACCGGCGAGGGTGTCGACGATGTGTTTGAGGCGGCCACCAGAGCATCGCTGCTCATGTTTGAGAAGAGTGAGGGCAGCGGATGCTGTGTGATTTTATGAGCAACGAAATCATCTTACGACACGTCGTGCTCTCAGAGGCCAAGACCGATGCGCACCAGGCGAAGAGAATGGAATAGGTCTCCCGCAGGGATTTTGACCGAGCCAGGGTTACATTGGGATTGACTGGAGGCTAGAGCAGGTCATATTTCTGGACAGCACTTCAGTTTCATGGCAATAATCACCATGACATCGGTACACACCACACTACGCCATTATATCGCCACTACCGCTTGCCGAAATGGAACGAAATTTCCATAGACGATCATACGATGAGAGTGTCATCACCCTGTCACTCTTTCACAAATTGCCCACATACGGCGCAACAGTCCATATACACCACTCACGTCTTTTTTGCACAACGAACAAAAAGCCAGCGAGTTTCTGTATTGATAACGGTTATAGAAGTACTTTTTTGTTTTCTTTTTTCTCCCTAGTTGTATCTCTTTATCTGTCTCTCTCAGTCTCGGTCTCACATCTCACTCTCTCACTCTCTCACTCTCTAACTGGGTTCTCAATCATTAACCAAGGGGAGGGGTTTCTCTGTTCTTGTCTGTATTTCATTTTTCGGTATCATCAAGGGAATTGGGTGGGGAAGGATGGCTGGGTTTCTCTGTCGTTTTATTTTCTGTTGTTTTTGCATGGGAAGCGAAACTGGGATTTTAATTCACTTATTACTGTCTTGAGGCTTTTTCTATTTTCACACCGCTGCTACTAATGATAGGGTCAAGGGCAGGTGGTTTATATGAAGCTGCCTAATTCGTGACCTCACCTACTGGTTCTTCCTGTGTTTACCTTCCCTTTTCTTTGCTGTGGGGTGTATGTATCACCTCTTATCACTTCTCGGTTGTCTCATACCCCCCTCCAATTTATTTCATGAACGTCTAGCTCCCGATCTCGTGAAGAAAAGGAAATAGGTAATGGGCAGCAAACAAAAATTGTTGTATGGGTGTGTGAGAGAGTGTGAGAGTGAGAGTGAGAGAGAGAGAGAGAGATTGAATGTATGGCCGTGATTTATTCCATCATTTTTGCCATCAAGGATCAAAAAGAAAAGAACTAGATTGTTGACTTTGAGCGGGCACTGACCGATTCTCATCATAAAGTGAGATTTTGTGATAGTCATTCAACTTGTTTATCTCTTGAACAACCCTTTTCAAATGCGTGTTGCTTTTTGTTGTGATGATACAGATATTTTTATACAACTCTTCCACACCCCCTATTTCTACAAACTTTCGGCATTTCAGGGGTATATATACACAATCCCATCCCTTTCTCCATCCCTCCCAACATCCTTCAACATGTTGCATATCTCAATCCCTCTTCCACTCATGATCCCAAGGCACCCTCGCCGGCGTCTCCGTCTGGGCTCTAGCATACTCAATCGGCACCCCTTTCAAACCATACACCCCCTTCTTCTCCATTGCCATTCTAAAGAGATACCCCTCTTCTCTCGTGCCCGGGCCAGAGGTGAGCCGGAGTTCTTCGCAGGCCCGGTTCATAGATTGGTACTGTCTCATCCAGGTTTTCTCGCGGGCTTCGCGCTGCTGCCGGCGAAAGAGGAGCCAGGCGCGGTGGATGGTCCAGTGGCGGAGGTAGCGGTTGCGGGCCATGCGGAGGGGGGCGGGGATGCGCTGGGGGGAGAGGATGGCGAAGTGGCGGAGGAGGTTGATCATGCGGGGGTCGCGGACGACTTCACCCTTGCGCTTGGAGCGGCGGGTGGTTTGGCCGCCCTTTGCGCCGCTGGCTTTGGAGCTGCCTTTGCCGGGTTGTGATTTGGGGCCTAACTTGGCGATCGAGGCCTTTGAGAGGGCGAGGGTGGGGGAGGTGGTGCTGAACTGGCATTTTGAGAGGATGGAGGAGGGGAGTGGTGATGGGCGGGAGAAGAGGCGGGTTGTGAGAGCCCGAAGGGAGGGGAGGAGGGTGGCGGTGGTGGACGACATGGTGGTTTATCTGTCGCGGAAGAAGCGAGCCGTGGAGGGTTTGCTGCGGTGATGGGACTTGTTGTCGAGGACGTATTTCTTATGGGGGGCCTTTATGGGGATAGCGACGCCTTCGCAGGTTGGTGGAGGAGGTAGGGTGATGTTTTTCGGGGAGGCTGCGAGGGGATTTGCTCGGAACTGGGTGTCATGGGGGTCTGCCGTAGGGAGATCGCGAGTGACTATGGGTGCAAGTTTTGGCTTCTTTGGAGACGTTGCAGGTGCCAGTGCTGTCAATAGGCCTCTTTTTTTGATTGACCTTTGCCGGGTAACAACTTTTTTCCTTGCGGGGACCCGACGGTCTGGTGGTTGTCGTTGACGAGTTGGCTCAATTGACCACTGCGGGGGCTCCGGGTCGCAAGGTCGTCTGTGGTGCTCGCGGTAAAATCAATGAAAAGTTGAGTGTTCCGTGGGTCCGTGTACAACAAACTGCTTCTGGATTTCTGATTGGCTGGAAGTGCTGCCGGCCGCCCAGAATTCGGGCTTCGTAGGGACCCACTCCCAATGTTCAGCCTCCTCATCGCTATCACTTGCACCCTCACCTTCATTTCCACTGACAGTAATGCAGTCCAAGGTAACGTTCTCGGGTCTGCAGTACACCAACACGTGAGCGTTTATTGATGGATCTACAGCGTAAAGCATGGCAATTCTCCCTTTTGCCTCATCTTCTCCGCGTGATGCTTGAGCAGGTTGACGAATGTGGTGCCAGATGCTGCTTCAAGCAGGGGGATGATGCAATCCCACTCGAGTCGACGGCTACTGACGACCACATCGTGGCTGTGTGTTGTCATTATTGCTGTTGTTATTGCTTGTTGTTGCTACTGTTGTTGAGACTTCTACTGCTGCTGTTATGATGCTGTTATTTGTAGTGCGGTGATATTGTCCACAAGTTGAGGGACTTGCTTGTTGTTGGTACGAGACTTGAAATTACTTCAAATTGAATGGTTTGCAATGGAGACCATATTGAATAAGAAAACCGGTCCGGGACAACACGACATGCTTGAAATACTTTCCATCGTCCCTACGATCACCAAAGTTAGATATTAAGCTTATCTCACAAATGGCTAAGTTTTTCTCATAGCGTGCGAAAAATTCAAAACGAGTCCCGGTGACCTACTCTGTGTCTATTTGAGTTTGGTTCACAACAAAAGTTGAAAAGCATGCTGTTAGCTAAGGTTGAAATCTAAGGCCCATAATTGTAGCCTCAACAGAAAGTAGAAGGATGAGAATGCTCGACTTGCTGTAGCTGTCTTGTTTTCAACCACAGGATACTGCTTCATTTCTCGTGAACATCGTCCCTGGGCAACTTATCTGCTCTAGCTCGGCAGGCGATTAATGCCACAACAACACTGCAATCGACCATTAAGTGAAGAAGAATTTTAAATACTATCCCAATTGATGTCATTATGCTAAACGCTCAGTAGGTGACAGGAAGGTGGCAAGTTTCTTTTCGAGACGATTTGACCGCGCAGGCTTTGTGAAGCAGGAATGTGAGAAGCCGGGACTTGCAAGAATGGCAGTGACAGAGCTTCCCCATTAGACAACTCGCTGCAACCAGATGTTCAGATCAATAGGTAGGCAAGGTCAGGTAACAAGTTAGGCAAGCAACACCTTGACTGCATGGGCCCTGGTTGGCCTGTGGTGCCCCCGTCCCCCAAGCAGACGCGAACCTTAGCATATAATGTTTAAGTCGGTTCCACATAATAACAACTAAAGCAGGGCGTGTGGTCTAGTGGTGTGATGTCTCAGTTGCAAAAATGTTCGTTGTCTTGAAACTGTTAGAAGGATAAAACAGGTGCAAGGTTTGAATCATAGAATGCTCCGTGGGAAGGCCCAGGTTCAAACCCCGGTACATCCAATCCTTTACTTTTTTTTTTTTTGCTTTCTTTTGGTGTTTCACCCTTGACTATGTCTATGATTGATTCTTCAAGACCGCCCAGTGACTTGGGACGAGAAAGAGATCAGTTCGAAGTATACATAGGTTTATCCTCGCCATCACCAGCATACTCTGACAAAGTTGATTTGAATAACGGATTTGAATATGATTTGTCAACAGGCGTCAACATGCAATCCCGTCTTCCGACACGGCGTCGAACGAAGGTTAAATCCCTCACTAGGTAGGTAGGTAAAGAACTCTCTTGATGGTCATCTGCTTTTCCATAGCATTGAGGTGTATGGAATCTTCTACCTATTTTTTCCGAACCTTAACTTCAATCTTGATCGAATGATTATCGGCTTCCTAGTTTGCTTGCCTTACCATTGCTTGTCAGCAGTGCCAACATGCCAGTCAGTCATCCTGTCATGAGTGCGCGGTCCTGTCTACCTATGCTCAGCCACCGACCATATCTATCGCAATACCAACCGCTGTGAACTCGGCAAAAGGAACCTTCTGAATGCAGCTTTCTTGGAACTAAGGCGATATCGAACTGCACAACATAGAACCACTGATTGCTAGGTTTAAAACTCGGGCCTCAGGAAAGAATCGTGGATCAGAGTATTGCTCCAAACGAATACCCATCTGGCATTTGTTCTGATACCAGGATGGCGTCATTGTTAAGGACAATGCTGGTCCTATTCGAGTCTTGCATGTGAAGCTATCGCGGATCTGGAGATGTCCACAAAGGTTGCTGTCCGATCCCGCAGAACCCCGGCCTTTTTACCGGGCTGAATGGATTTGATAAAGTAATTGACAAGGAGGCCCCACGTATCCTGAGCAATCTTGCGAGCCGGGACTGCATGATGAACAGTTGACAGTCATGATCTGGGATAAAATCATGACGAGGTCGACACTGACACATATGTTCTTGAGCTCCAGTTGAACATGGAAAAAGTTCAGTTCTTGAAATTGATACTAAAAAGCAGTTTCTCTCGCTGTCAGAATGCAAATGAAAGGAATCAAGATTTCACTAAGGACATGAGAGAATTAACGCCGTGAATCTGCTGGTCTCGTTCGTGAAGCGTCGTTTCATTCTCACGCTGCCCCTCCATGTGATAAGAGAAGCTGCAAGGGCTGGATAACAGTACTAGCCAATTGTGTGGAGAAGCGCAAAAATAAAGTGGGGTTTGCGCTGGACCCCGCCATAAAAACTCGAAAGGGTCACCATCACCCCGCCTTCAGACTCGCAGTTTGCTCGATGACTCTGTATCCATCCCAGTGAGCTTTGGCTCTCTGCCAGTCGTCCAGCCCTATTTGAACTGCCCTTCTTCCCATTGTCATTGTTCCCTTTTTTGCATCATCGCAATCACCGCAAATGATGGCGCACCTCACCCTCGCAGGTGACTCCTGCTTCACGGCCTCCGAGGCCCAGAAGCTCAAAGACCAGATCAACAAGATAGCGCCCATCAAGGTGTCCAAGCTCACCGGCTCCTGGATCTACTATGCTCACATCAACGGTGACGCCAATTCTGCTCAGCAAACCCTTTCTCAGTTTCTCCCGCTGTCTGGCTCATCCACTCCTCCTCTCACTCACATCGGATACGGCCGCAAATGGTTCGTGACACCACGATATCTCTCACCCTGGAGCTCCAAGGCCACCATGATCGCCCATGTGTGCGGCTTCGAGCACCAGATTCAGCGGATAGAGCGCGGACGAATCATCACCATCGAGTTCGACCAGCCTTATAACGACAAGACCGTTCCATTTCGGGATATTCTGCATGATCGCATGACCGAGCACCTCACAACTGAAGAGCCGGATCTCAATGGCATGTTTGCCGAGAGTGAACCCGCTCCGTTGGAAGTTGTTGACATATTTGCCGAAGGCCGGGATCCGATCCAGGTGCTCAACGAGTACAACAAGGCTCGCGGCTTGGCCCTTGATCAGTCTGAGGTGGAGTACTTGGTGGAGCAGTTCACCAAGTTGGGTCGCCCTCCCCATGATATCGAGCTCTTCATGTTTGCTCAGGTCAACTCGGAGCACTGCCGTCACAAGCAGTTCAATGCCAACTGGACCATTGATGGAATCACCAGGGAACACAGTTTGTTTGGGATGATCAGGAATACCCACAAGGCCACCCCTGACTTCACCGTTTCAGCTTACAGCGACAATGCGGCTGTCATCCAGGGTGAAAACGCCAACCTGTGGGCTCCTGACTACTCTACTGGCTCCTGGAAGCTAAACAAGGAGCTTATTCACGTTCTCGCCAAGGTCGAAACACACAACCACCCAACCGCCATTGCCCCTTTCCCCGGAGCTGCCACTGGGTCCGGTGGTGAAATTCGGGATGAAGGTGCCGTTGGCAGAGGCTCCATGCCCAAGGCTGGTCTCTGCGGTTTCTGGGTCTCCGATTTACACATTCCTGAGCACAAGGCGCCCTGGGAAATTGATGTCGGTCGCCCAGCTCACTACGCCAGCAGTCTCGACATCATGCTGGAGGCCCCTATTGGCAGCGCCCGGTTCAACAATGAATTTGGTCGCCCATGCCTGACCGGCACTTTCAGAACTCTCCTCACTGCCGATGACACCAAGGTCGAGGGAGAATTCCGTGGTTACCACAAACCTATCATGATTGCTGGTGGTGTTGGAACTGTTAGAGAGAAGCATGCTCTCAAGGACCCGAAGGATGTTCAGGAGGGTGCTCATGTTATCGTTCTTGGTGGCCCTGCCATGTTGATTGGTTTGGGCGGTGGTGCCGCGTCCAGCAATGCTTCGGGAGAGGGCAACGCCGATCTCGACTTCGACAGTGTCCAGCGTGGCAACCCTGAAATGGAACGCCGTGCACAGATGGTCATCAACACTTGTGTGGCTCTTGGAGACCATAATCCTATTGCCATGATTCACGATGTTGGCGCTGGTGGTCTTTCAAACGCTTTGCCAGAGCTTGTCAAGGATGCTGGCTTTGGTGGCAGATTCGAGCTTCGCCAGGTCGAGTGTGTCGACCGTGGTATGAGCCCTCTCCAGATTTGGTGTAACGAGGCTCAGGAGCGTTATGTTATTCTTGTGAACAGTGATGGCATGGAGCGCTTTACTGCCATCTGCAGTAAGTTTGATTTTTTTCAAAGAACGATCAGGGCTGTGACTAATCAATCAATAATTAGGACGTGAACGCTGCGGCTTCTCCGATGTTGGAACTGTGCTGTCTAAGGAAGAAGATGGCGTTTCCAGACTGGTTCTCAGCGATAAGGAGTCGAAGGAGTACCCTCGCCCTATTGACGTTCCTATGGACGTTTTATTCCCCAAGGGCCGGAAGCTGGAGCGCATTGTAAGCTCCAAGAAGCCTACCTGGCCCGTTTTCGAGCCCGTCGCTAGCCTCAAGGCTGCTCTCGGAGAATCCACTACCGATGCCGATCTTTTCAAGCAAGCTGTTCAGAGAGTATTTTGGCTGCCTTCTGTTGGGTCCAAGTCATTCCTAATCACTATTGCCGATCGTACTGTCGGCGGTCTTACCGTTCGCGATCAAATGGTTGGCCCATGGCAGACACCAGTTGCTGATGTTGCCGTCACGTCAACTTCTTTCAGCCTTAATGGCATGAAGACGGGAGAGGCGATGGCCATGGGTGAGAAGCCTACACTGGCTTTGATTTCTCCTGCTGCCTCCGCCAGAATGGCCGTTGCTGAGAGTTTGTTGAATCTTGGAGCTGCCGATATCAAGGGTGGTTCATACAGAGGAGACCTTAAGCGCGTCAAGCTTTCCGCCAACTGGATGGCCGCTGTCAACCACCCCGGTGAGGGTGCCGCTCTCTACGAGGCTGTTGAGGCTATTGGAATGGAGCTCTGCCCTAAGCTCGGCATCAGCATTCCTGTTGGCAAGGACTCGACCTCGATGAAGGCCAGCTGGAAGGACGGAGAGACCAAGAAGAGCGTCACTGCTCCTGTCTCAGTTGTCATTTCTGCCTTTACCCTCGTTGAGGATGTTCGCCGCACCTGGACGCCTCAGCTTCGTCGCGTTGAGGATCTTGGCGAGACTGTGCTGCTCTACGTTGACCTGGCTCAAGGCCATAAGGCCCTTGGTGGCTCTGCACTTGCCCAGTCTTTTGGAGCTGTCGGCCACGAAGCCCCTGATGTCCGCGATGTCGATCTCCTCAAGGATTACTTTGATGCCCTTGCTCAGCTTCACGAGAGCGGCATCGTCCTCGCCTATCACGATGTCTCTGACGGTGGTCTTGTCACCACCATTGCTGAGATGATGTTTGCTGGCCGCTGTGGTGTTGATGTCATGATGGATGGTGTCGCCAAGTCTGGCAGCCTTGCCGATATGACCGAGGCCCTGTTCCATGAAGAGTTGGGTGCCGTCTTCCAGGTTCGCGCTTCGGACGAGACCAACTTTAAGAGGTGCTTCGCCACTTGTGGTCCTCCTGCTGGGCTTATCAAGAAGATTGGTGTTGTCCAGGACTCGTCTAAGCAGACACTTAACATCCGTTACGGCGAGGGTGCGCCATTCGCCAGCTTCCACAGAGCCGAGATGCAGCAATGGTGGTCTAAGGTTTCCTACGAGATGCAGAAGCTCAGAGATGACCCCTCATGTGCCGAATCCGAATATGCCGCCATCGCCGACTCTGTTGACCCCGGCCTTTCTTACAACTTGACCTTCTCCCCTGTCGAGAACATTGTTCCCCTGACTGCCTCCATCACCGGCTTCTTCGGTAAGAGCCCCCGCGTTGCCATCCTTCGCGAGCAAGGTGTCAACGGTTACGCCGAAATGGCCTTTGCCTTCCGCGCTGCTGGCTTCGATGCTGTGGACATCCACATGACCGATATTATCAACGGTCGCTCCCTCGCCGACTTTGTCGGTCTCGCCGCCTGCGGTGGTTTCTCCTTCGGTGATGTTCTCGGCGCCGGTCAAGGTTGGGCCAAGTCCATCCTTCTCCACGAGAAGTCCCGCAAGGAGCTCGCCGACTTCTTCCAGCGCAAGGACACC